GTAACAAAGTGCAGCCGATGGCTGCGGCATATTTGCTCCTTTTCCGTCGCTCAGTTTGCTCGCGTTTGTTTCAAGCGAGTGAGCATTTATTTCCTGGTTCTGTCACTCACCTCTGCTGTTGTAAAGCACACACACGCACACAGGGCCCAGGCATTCGGTCTCGGTCTTTCAATGCACAGTCGGGCATGTTTTAGTTTTAAAGGAACATTGTGCATTAAACTGGGGTCGCGATCCTGATATTCCAGTCCTCCCTCCAACCGTCAACCAGCTACAAAAAAAAATTGATTTGATTTGCATTTGACACAGCGCCTTATCAGGTCGTTGAGACGTCTCAAAGCGTTTCACAGAATATATAAATAATAAGCGAATTGACTGTATATTTTTGTAAGGAAAACCCGGCAGCCAATTCCACACAGCAGCTGTCTCACAAACAGTCGTGGATTGAGTGAGTGACCAAATTATAATTATTATTATTTTGTTTTTTGGAGGGATTATTACCCCGGAAAGCTAACCGGCAATCAACTAATAACCGGGTTCCTACTCACTGCTAAGGAAACAGAGGTGTGTGGAGTAAGGAAACTCGCCCCCAACCAGGAATGAAACCCGAGTCTTCTCGCTTGCGAGTGAACGCTAACCACTACGCTAGAGGACCCCTGATTCAATTAATGTCAAGCAGATTAACTCCCGCTGTATGGCCAGGGGCTGGAGGCATTGTATGATCTGGGTGGGCTGAGGAGATTGCATCTATGGGCTCCCACCCACCTGCACTCTCATTTCTCAGTCACCGTGCGGTGGAGGCGGCGGAATTACTTTAACTGGACCTGGACAGAGGTAAGATTACGTAAGGTAAATTTTGGGGGGAAATCCCTGCGACCCGCCAAAACAATGACACTGTAATAACTATCACGCTAATGATGTTTGCATTTGATACAGCGCCTTATCACGTCTTCGAGATGTCGCAAAGCGCTTCGCAGGATAAACTGTAAAGTGAATTGACTGTACATTTTGTGGGCGAAATGCGGCAGCCGATTGCGCACAGCGGCGTCCCCCACAAACAGTGGTGGATATTGCAGTTCATTGGTTCAGGATATGATATATATGTATATAACAACACGCAGGGGAGCATCCTGGAGTGCTTCAAAGCACTGTTGTGTATATATACATATCATATATATAAGGATTAAATATGAGGAACCTTTTTTTAATGAAAGAACCCTTTTTCGTACTTCTCTAAGGATGTCAATAAGGTCCTATTAAATCTTCCTTTCTTTGAAACCCAGTAGTGAGAGACCTTGTAATTCCTTCAGTTCCTCTGGGACCTGAAAGGTTAAAGGATAAACTTTGGAAGTTTAATACGGCCGTTTCAATTTGTTAGTTTCTATCGACGTAAAGTGGGAATGAATGGCATTTAGGAGCCCGTGGAGTGCTTCATGTTGTTGCCCTAATATTGCTCATCTATACATCTTGCGGAATTTACATTTTATAATAATAATCCTTGCATTTGATATCGCGCCTTATCAGGTCATTGAGACGTCTCAAATCGCTTCACAGAATATACTTTAAAATCAATTAATTGACTGTATATTTTCTGGTCGAATTTTATCCCCAAAGTGAAATACTGAAAGCAAACCGTAGTTTTAACCTGAATGTGTATCGTGAAAGAGGCAATTTGGGTATTGAATATTCCTTCTATGTGAATCTGCGGTTCAAACGTGTATTTATGTAATATGCAGGGCAATTAAAATAGATTTACATGTGTAAGTTACATACATATTGATGTGAGATCTATGTAGTGTCAGAAAAGCAGGTGATTTCCAGTCCATATCATGCATTATCATTTACGCTAAGATAAGGTAAGATAAGGGATTGTAGAATGATGCAATGACAATAAAGATTGAGATAAGCTTTTCGGAACTCCCCTAAGCCCAACCCAAAATATATCTTTGAGTTTGCGTCGGTTGTAGAGAACTGACAGGTCCCTCCAAATCGCAAGTGCATTCACAGGCTCACGTGACTTTGTAAACTGTTCTTGTGGCTTGTGATGTCCTCAGACAAGTTAGCCTGGTGTTGATTCGAATGGTCAAGTGAGCGAGACTTTGATGAGTTAGAATTTTGTTGGTGTAGTCACTGTGTATCACTCACTGTGTGTTTATACTGGGAGGGTGCCTTAATCCAGGCTCTTTAGTCACATCAGTGATCGAGTGAGGCAGACAGATTTGCACAGCTGTCTGTCGGCGAGACCCTGAAATAACTTATTGGAAAAAACGGCAGGTGCCAGGGTGTGACACTGTTCTGCCCACCTCAGGGAAGCTGATTTGAACGCAGAATGGTGAGACTACAAGCTTCTTGCTTCAAAGATCAATCAATACCTGTGTGAAATCAGTTCGGGCAACTTCAACCCTGTACCCAGTGAGATGGCAGTCCTAACACCATACAATAACGCAAAGCAATTTACACTTACATCAGTGACCTGTAGCGTATTGATTAGAGCGCTCGCCTTGCAACCGAGAGGTCCTGGGTTTGATTCATGGCAGATCGCTTTCCAGGGACAATAATCCTTTAAAGTAATGCGGTCACTCAATCCACGATTCACGTTGCAGTATACTCTGTAAAGCGCTTTGAGTCGTTTCAACCATGCGGTGAGGCGCTTTATCAAACGCAAGGATTATTATTATTATACAGTGCCTTTCACAACAGGAGGACATCTTAAAGTCCTTCACACCGGCCGGGCACTTGAGCCGTACTGTCAATGAACTGCTAAAAAAATTGGCAATCTCACTCAGGAAGGCTGGTGTGGGAAAGGTTATCAATGAGACATACTCAGCAGTAGGTGGAAGGGTACCACACTTTGGTGTAGCCTTGGAGTACCCCCCCCACAAAAAAACACTGCTTTCCATCCAATTGCAGGTCAATTGAAGTACCCCCCCACCCCCTCTCCCCCCCACACACCCCTAAGTGATGTACAGCTGTGAAATACTGAGTGTAGATTTGACAAGTATTCATTCTGAAGCACCAAAACGGAGTTATAATGATAATATAATAATAATAATATAGGGAGCAACGTGAAATAGTGGGTTTATTGTTACCAGTAACTTTTATGTTCAGTTCTTTTCTTTGTGAAAAAAAAGGCTCAATTTCAATAATATAATTCCAATAGGAAAGTAAAAGGAACAGACAGCATTAATTTGGCACTTCTCTGACCAGCTGTGGACACAAGACGTCGAGTTAAACCTTTAACCTGCCCCCCCCAAAAAAAAAGACGCTGAATATTATTTACGTGAAAAAAAATGGAAAGACAAATCGTAATGATTGAACTGTGGATGGAGGACGTTGGATGCGAGGATTTATTATTACGATCAAAGGGAGACCTTCCTTTTCCGAGCGTGTTTGCGGTCGCTTCCCGCCTTCCCTCTCTCTCTCTCTCTCCCTGGCTCTGGCGGTGAGTGGGTGGGTGGGAGGGGAGTGGTGGTGGGGGCGGGGGGGGGGGGGTCAGACTCCACCCCTGCTAAGCGCTCCGGGACGCCTGCTGTATAAATGCAAGTTGTCGTTGATGTAACATTGTCGAGACGTCTCAAAGCGCTTCTCAGAAACATACTGTAAAGTGAATTGACTGCACACACACACACACATATATATGTGTAATATATAATATATATGTGTGTGTGTGTGTGTGCAGTCACAACCGATTTAGAGGGGAAAGGACAACTTTTTTGAAAAGCAAAACTCGAAAAAAAAATTCACTCAATGAATGAATGAATGAATCGAAATGGTCAATGAAGTCGGTGCCGCTTTAAGACCTCTTCTTCCCCCATTCATCCTTTCGTCCGTTCACAACAAGTCCAGAGAATATATCAATGAACGCCGCGGCCGTCCAATCACCGCCGGCGGATGTAACGCTTCCTCCGGGATTGGCCAATGAGAGGCGGGCGGACAGGCGGCGGCCAATCGGGAAGGGGCTATGCAAATGAACCCGTGGGAAGCTCGGCGTAGACGTCACGAACGCCCGTCTCGCCTGCTGCTGCTCGCGAGGCACGGCGGGAGTTGTAGTCGCTCCGCCCAGCCCGAGTGGGTGTAGGTGGGGGAGGGGGACGGGCACTGCAACTCCCAGACTGCACTGCGGAAGCAAGGTCGAGGCGCGCAGGCGCACTGCCCCTCACGTCGCCTCTCCATTCATGAAGACATTGCACAGCAGAGAGGAGAGAGGGCTCTGATGGAGCTTCAGACGTGAAGGCTTCTTCCTCAATGATTGATTGATTGATCGATCGATCTATGTATCTATCTATGTATCTATGTATCTCTCTGTCCAGCATCTCAGCTGCGGGGAAAAAAAATCTGCAAAAAAAGCAGCCAATGCAATCTGCAGCGAATGGCTTTATAGTCCTCGGGATCACTTGATTTGTCATTTTTATTTTATTTTATTTTAGTCGCTCTCTCTTAAGTTATTTTTTTCTTTGCAATACGACCCCATTGACTGGGTGACTGCCTGATTTGGGGTTCTCCCCCTCCCTCACCCCCCCCTCCCCCCCCCCCCTCTCCCCCTCTAATAAAACAGTTGATTTTTTTTTCTCTGCACTCACACACACTCACACACCACACACACACACACAGGGGGAAAAAATTGGAATAGGAGACTTCACTAAAACCCCTCTCCTCCTCTCCTCCCCTCCACCCCCTCCTCCCTCCCTCCCTCTCTCCTCACCCACCCACCCACCCACCCACCCAACCAACCAACCAACCAGGCGCTTGTCAGGCGTTTTCATTCACAAAATTACGCAGAATTCGCCACTGTTCTCTCTCTCTCTCTCTCTCTTTCTCTCTCACGTCAACCAGAACTGTATATCCATCAGACAGAGAACATCCTCTCAGCTCCCACCCCGCCCCCCCTCCCTCCCTCCCACCCACCTCCCTCCCCCCACCCACCCCCCCTACACACACACACACACCCACACAAATACACACACACACCCACTCACTCCCCCCCCCCCCCCACCACCCCAATTGCACCTGGGTTTGCTCGGGACGAGTTATCATTCCGGGGAGCGTTTAAAAAGTAAGTATTTTTATTTATTAACGTGTGTGCAGTGCAGTTCGTCGCAGTTATGGTTATGGGCAATTTTGCAATTGCATTTTCTCTGTCTCTCTCCTCTCTCTCTCTCTCTCTCCCTCTGTGTGTGTGTGTGTGTTGTTGTGTGTTGTGTGTTGTCTGCGCTCTTCACAATCTTTCTTTTCCTCTCTCCCTTTTTTTTTAACCCACATTTTTTAACCAGAATTACAAACTGTAGATTGTAGATAGGCTGTAGATTTTGCGGTGTTTTAACTCTATAAGTGATGTGGAATCCAAGGCGACAGGAGCGGCTGTGAGAGTGGATAGTGCGTGTGTGTGTGTGTAAAAAAAAGAAGAGAAGCTTCTCATACGATTCATAAGCGCTGCAATACAGACACAGCACAGAAAGATAGATTTCTGCTCTCTTTCAGTATAACGTGTGACTTTTAATAATGTCGACAAGATAGTGCAAAGGGGTAAGGGGTGTGAGGGGGTGTGAGGGGGTTGGGGGGGGGGTTGGGGGGTGCTGTGCTATTCATAAAATAACCTACGATCTGACAAGGACAAGGGGGGGCTCTTTGCTCTCAAACCATTGGGACTGTGTATATTATGCCTTTCGTTTTGTTAGTACGAAGCTTTTCTTGCAACGATTAAACGTTGAAAATGGGGGAAATCGACGACCCCTCTATTACAAAAACACACACACACACACAGACACACACATAGACACACATACACAGACACACACAAACACATAGACACACATACACAGACACACACAGACAGACACACACGCACAGACACACACACGCACAGACACGCACTCACACAGACATAGACACACATACACAGACACACACACTCACACAGACGCAGACACACATAGACACACATACACAGACAGACATACACACACACGCACACACACGCACAGACACACACAGACAGACACACACACGTACAGACACACACACTCACACGGACACAGACACACATAGACACACATACACAGACACACACACTCACACAGACACACACACTCACACTCACACAGACACACACACTCACACAGACACACACACACACACACACAGTAGGTTTGGATGACACTTGAGAGCGAAATAGCCTTTGAAAATTGTGAACATTTTGAAGAAGATTTTTTTTGGGGCGGTTGGGTGGGAATTCATTATATTTCAAACCCCTTCCACTCCGGTGGGGTTTATAGTGTATCGCAAAGATTGTTTTATGTTATTGCAATCTTTCTCATGGCTTTGAATCGATTATTTAAATTGATTGGTGGGTGAGAGGGAGAGAGAGAGAGAGAGGGAGAGAGGAGAGAGAGAGAGGGAAGACATCCTCCCGACGTGAAGCCAAATGGATTCATTCATTCATCTGCAAATTTTATGAATGGAATTCCAGTTTTTTTCCGCAAAACCGGGAACGGTTGCGTTTATTTTTAATTACGGAGAGGATTTATTTAATCGATCCTCGGTTCTGTGGGTTAGGAAATCAACTCAACCACAGCCGTCACATCCCATTTTTTTTAAAAAAAAAACGCAAGACAAATGCACATTTATATCATCTGCAGAATAAAGATCCACAGCACATTCAGCCCCAGGGTGGCCAGATTTCATTCATAAAAATGATATAAATCGTGCACAAAGGTGGAGTGTGATGGGGGGGGAGGAGGAGGAAGAGGAGGAAGAGGAGGAGGAGAGAGAGATCACTACTCTACAATATTCTCAAATTAATCTCTTACTATAATTGGGGACACGATTCATTTGAGGATATATTATATATCTTATTATTATTGATCTGGACTGTACGTGGCTTGTGCTGTCCACTCATCCGCACAGATCCATCGCAAATGCAATGTGTGGGGGTGGGTGGGGGTGGGGGGGGGGTGGGGGGGGGGTGGGGGGGGGTGGGGTGGGGGGGAAATCGCCTTCTTCTGTTTTGAGTCTCAGCAAAAGGACTCGACTTGACAGTCCACACCTCCATTGCTAACGAATGGGAAAGAGATTAAAGGAAGCAAATTGAACCAGGGATGGGGGGGGGGGGGCAGACCAGGGCCTAAGATTCCTCAGCTGTAACCCCCTGTGTAGGTGCAATTGAACTGCAAACGCCACAGTCACTACACCACTCGACTGCAATCCCCCCCCCAGTGACTGCACTGGTCAGGACCTGTGTCGGTGAAACAAACCCCTTTGAGAGTCGCTTTAGGCGTTGAATCAGATCCAGTGGTCAATGTACTGTACACATACACAGTGTATTTACACACGAAATTAGAATTTGCTGTGAGTTGTGTTTTTGTCGTCAAAAGTATTGTGTCTTTTGCTGATTCCACCGAATCTGCGGTCAGAAATAGTGCTTTTTAAAACAAACCTGAACATTGTAAACGTCTGGACCTCAGCAATAAAGCTTGGAAATGCCTCTGTTATTTATTTCCCCCCCCCTCAGCCTCCCCCCCAAACCCAAATCGTGGTCCATTTCACAACCAAGAGCAATAACTCGTTGTTTCTGGGTTTATGTCATTCACATCCTGTAATTGCCATCAGTGAGGGGTGTGTGTGGGGGGGGGGGGGGGTGGGGGAGGGAGGAGGGGGGGGGGAGGAGGGGGGGGGGGAGGGGGGGGGGCAGTTTGAGGAGAGACCATTTCATTCACACACATCAAAATTAGTCTGATTGACGTTTGGTGGTCTATTTCACCCCCCACCACCCCCTCCCACCCTCCCCCTCCTCTCCCTCCCCACCACCCCCTCCCTCCCCACCGGGGTCTCCCTCCCTCCCCACCACCCCCCCCTCCTCTCCCTCCCCCCCCCCCCCTCCCCCCCCCCCCTCCCCCCCCCCCCCCCCCCCCCCACCCTCCCCCCCCCTCCCTCCCCACCACCCTCTCCCTCCCCACCCCCCCTCCCTCCCCCCCCCCACCTCCCCACCCCCCCCCCCCATCATTAGGAAAGGGTGCAATGATCTTCTTTCTTACGCCAAAGCTTTGTTTGACTGTCAAAGTCAAAGTCAAAGCAAAGCAACAGAGAGAGAGAGAGAAAGAAAGACAGAGAGAAAGAGAGAGAGAGAAGGAGCGTCTTAATACGAGAGAGAGAGAGAGAGAGAGAGACAGAGCTTTGCGAAAAGCGCATCTTAAAAACACGTCTGAAGTCCGCAACATTGATCGACTTTGCGGAAATTCACCGGTAAAGGAAAGCAATGTTAACTGGAAATAAATCTGAGTACTTTTTTTGGGGGGTGGGAGGGAGGGGAGAAATGTGTGTGTGTGTGTGTGTTTGGGTGTGTGTGTGTGTTTGGGTGTGTGGTGTGTGTTTGGGTGTGTGTTTGGGTGTGTGTGTGTGTTTGGGTGTGTGTGTGTGTGTTTGGGTGTGTGTTTGGGTGTGTGTGTGTGTTTTTGGGTGTGTGTGTGTGGGTGTGTGTTTGGGTGTGTGTTTGGGTGTGTGTGTGTTTGGGTGTGTGTGTGTGTGTGTTTGGGTGTGTGTGTGTGTTTGGGTGTGTGGGTGTGTGTTTGGGTGTGTGTGTGTGTTTGGGTGTGTGGGTGTGTGTTTGGGTGTGTGGGTGTGTGTTTGGGTGTGTGTTTGTGTGTTTGGGTGTGTGGGTGTGTGTTTGGGTGTGTGTGTTTGTGTGTTTGGGTGTGTGTTTGGGTGTATGTGTGTGTGTGTGGTACAGTAAAGTGCCCTCACCTGTACGTTTCTGATTCCACTTAAGATGCTCTTGCGAATTGTTGCTGCTGCTGCTGCTGTTGTTGTTGTTGGGGGTATTAAGATGCTCTTTTTGTTGTTGTTGTTGTTCTTGTAGTTGGACTGGTTGGTTGAGAGGGATTGCACCCACCCAAAAAAAAAGAAACCCAACCAATACCACCTCCCCCCCCTCCTCCTCATCCCCATCCCCATCCCCACCCGATGGAGCCCCGCATTCCACTCAGGAACCTGGAAGACCCCAACGCCTTCGTCCTCCAACCTTTCCTGGACAGCGTTAGCAGCAGCAACAGCAACAGACCCCTGAACAACCCCGCCATCCTCCCCATGGACCAGATGAAAGCCAGCCGCGCCGAGAACCACTACGTGGACAGCCCGATCGCCCTGCAGCCCGGCCGGCGGCGCAGCCTGGAGCAGCCCGGGGAGCTGGGGCTGCCCGCCTGGACCGCCCGGACCTGGACCACCCGGACCGCCCGACCCGGCTCCATCGTCAGCAGCGCCAGCGGCTCGTCCGACCAGAGGCTGCTCGACCACCCGTCGCCTTCCCCGGTCGGCGAGCAGGGCTGCCCGCGAGCCTGGCAGCGACCCCAGCTCTCCAAGGGGCACCATCACCCTCACCAGCAGCACCACAACCACCACCACCACCACTACCCTCCTCCTCCTCCTCCACCACCACCACCACCATCACCACCCAAGGGCACCCCCCACTCGCCGGGGGACGGCAGGCGGGCTCTGCTGTGCGAGTGCTGCGGCAAGTGCAAGTGCGCGCAGTGCGCCTCGCCCAGGACCCTGCCCTCCTGCCTGGTGTGCGGGCAGGTCTGCCTGTGCTCCCCTCAAAGCCTGGTCAACTACGCCACCTGCATGTGCCTGGTCAAGGGCTTCTTCTACCACTGCGTCAGCGGCGAGGAGGAGGAGGAGGAGAGGGGGGACGGGGACGGCGGCGAGGGCAGGGGGTGTTGCTTGGGTGCCGACAAGCCCTGCTGCTGCACCCCCCGCGCCCGGGCCGGCTGCTGCGCCCGCTGGTGCTGCATGGGGGCCGTGTCCCTGCTCCTGCCCTGCCTGCTCTGCTACCCGCCGGCCACCGGCTGCGTCAAGCTGTCCCAGAAGCTGTACGACGCGGTCAGCCGGCCGGGCTGCCGCTGCAAGCACTCCAACAGCGTGTACCGCAAGGTCCCGGAGTCCCCCGGCTGCAACGGTGGGGAGAAACCTCCTTGATGTGGGTGCATGGGTGGGTGTGTGGGGGGGTGGGGTGGGGAGGGTGTTGGGTGAGGGGTGGGTGGGGGCGACGTAAGATTGGGATGTTGGGGGCAGTGAGGGAGAGGGAGTGTGTTGGGCACCTCACAACCTAACCACCCCCTCCCTCCACCCCCCCCCCCCTTTTTTTTCTTATCCACTACTTTGTGCAGTTTTTTGCTTTCTATAGAGAAAGAGAGAGAGAGAGAGAGAGAGAGAGACATCTGAGACAGAGACAGAAAATATATACAAATAACACACACACATATCTATATATACACAGTAAACCTCACGTGTCTGTTGGGACCATAAGTTTAATGCCGCTTGTGCAAAGCGTGAGTTACTGTGCATCAGACGTGCGCAGAGTATCAAACTCTTGAACGGACGGGACTTGGGCAGATGTGGGACCTGGAGGCGATGATACGCTTTATGCAGATCAGACTTATGCGACATTTGCTGCGGTAGCGACCGACCTATGTGGTCCATCGAGCAACTGAGATGGTTATGCCCTTTTGTCATCGTTTTTCGCAGCCCGAATAGAGCTACAAAATGCAAGCGTGAAACCACCTTAAAATGGCTTTGAGGAAAGGTGTTTGAAAAATCTTGTTGAATCGTACAGGATGCCCTTTTGAAAAAGACCCGGTATATTACGAGTAGATTACTTGGGGGGGGAGAGAGAGAGAGAGAGAGAGAGAGAGCGGGAGAAAACTGTGTTTCCTGTCAAGACAAACCCTTAAATCTACCATGGAGTGAATTGACATTGATTATTCTCACAGATTGGCTTTCCCAAGACAATTTTTGTTAGCGTATTGCAATCTCGCAGGAGCTTTCTCTGTGGTGGCAAATAACCATTTCGCTGGATGTCTATTGCCAGTGATAGTCTCCGGGCCCATGGTCAGGTCAGTCGGATCTCTACGTCAGCTGTCTGGATCGCAGTGATACAAATAATAATAAAAATCCTTGCATTTGACGCGAGCGCCTTATCACGTCGTTGGGACGTCTCAAAGCTCTTCACAGAATATACTGTAGAATGAATTGACTGCACATTTTGTGGGCGAAACGTAGCAGCCAGCAGCGTCCCACAAACAGTCGTGGATTGAGTGACCGAATCGTTATTATTATTTTACTGAGGAGATTATTACACCCGGAAAGCGATCCGCCAATCGACTAACAACCGGGTTCCTACTTACTGCCGGGTAAACAGAGGCGCGCGCGCGTGTGCGTGTGTGTGTGTGTGTGTGTGTGGAGTAAAGAAACTTGCCTAAGGTTTTGCCCAAGTACCTGTGAGAAACCGGCATTTAAATGGGATTAAAAAACAAGCGGTGACCTTCTCGCCACACGAGCGGCGGAGCGCCTTTTTGCACTGATGTGAACGAGGAACGACACCCATCTGAGAATCCTGCTGGACATCTTCAAAGAGTACCGATTGACATTTTGCCACAACATAGTGGATTTTCATTTGGGAAGGTTCCTCGCTTGATATCTTGACGGAGAACTCATGTGATGTGTTAAGGTGTTTGACTTAATTCTGCAGAAAGCTGTTTCCTGTGTGCTGGTAAGGTAAATGCTCTTAATTTTTTTCCCCCTGTATGCTGCTGTTCCTCTTGAAAACTATTCCCCTACCACCCCCACTTCCCCCCCCCCCCCCCCCCCCACACACAATTTGACCCAAAGAGAAACACACTTCTGTTTTTGAACTTCTTTGCTGTTTCGATTACGTCATCAGTGGCATTTTTAAGGCCGTTTATTCAATGGCCGCAAGATATTCTGACTGCATTTCCCGTGCAGTTCTTTCACCCAGAAAATACGCGGTCGATTCACTTCACGCTATATTCTGTGAAGCGTTTTGAGACGTCTCGAAGGCGCGATAAGGCGCTGGATCAAATGCAAGGATTATTATTATTACTATTATTATGATGATCGACTCAGTCACCAGTAAATGACAGACCCTTCGCCTGAAATCATAAACCCCGCGAATATCTGCCCGCAGCTGTAAGTTTAACACTGCGATATGGCCATTAGTGTTGCAAGGTACAGGTGACGGCTTTAGATATGTTTTTAAAAAATTGCAACTTCCCGGCAATGTGAAGGTTCGAAGGGTTTCTGGTGGCGGAGGGGGGGTGTGTGTGTGGGGGGGAGGTGGGGGGGGCAGGTCAGGTCAGAGATTGAGTAATGTTTTGTAATCTTTTTCTTTGTCACAAAAATCATTTGCCATGTCGTTTGGTTCCGATTCAAGGTGCGCATCCGCGGGAACGGCTCGAACAAAGTAGGTACCCACGGATTGTTTTTTTTTTAAGAAAAAAGATATTGATCCCAAGATAAGGGATTGAAAAAAAAATTTGCTGTTGGCGTTTTGACCGCAGTTACAAAGAACACAGACAATTGGTAAGAGTGACGCATGTTTAACAGAAGAGACATTCTGATCATTCCATATCTGCCCAAAGAATGAAATTGAGACTATTATAATGGGTTAAGGAATCACATTAGCTGTACCAGGAATTGATGGAGATTACAGCGCAGATGTGTTTCATAGAATTTCATTTTGTTCTTGCCCTCTCGGCTTTAAATCCCTCCCTACCCCTCTCGTTTCCGCAGCTGAAAGCACGACTGCGGTGTTAAATTGTGAAGTCATCTCTTGTTCCCCAGGTTTTGCCCAAATAATAATAACAATAATGATAATAACGTTAATAATCCTTGCATTTGATAATAGCCGGCCTTCCTTTCACGTCGGGAGGACGTCCCAAAGTGCTTCACGGGACGTGCGGGAGAGTGTAGTGACTGTGCATTCTGTTAGGCGACCGCAGCAGCCAATTTGCTCACGGGTTGACAAATATTGACCGTGGCTGAATGGAACCCAACCTACGCGACACGGAGTAAGACTGGTGACAGACGAGAGGATTCTGGTTTCTAACGGAAATGAAATGTAGCTTCACAGCTACCAGAGGATGGCTTATCCTCCAGTGACTGCTTTTTCCTTCGTCCCTGAGCGAGATTCAGGCAGTGCTGCTCAGCGCTGGCTCTGCCCTGCACCCATTTTATTGGGACGTCTTGCGCAGCAATGTAGAGCGGTGGTGTTAAAAAGAACAAAGCGGGAGCGTTTGAACGGAGGATGCAAAATGCCAGCTCAGTATTCAGGAGCTGACGCTGTTAGGACAGGCAGGTCACCAGACACAAGATGCCCTTTCTAATCCTTGGGTTGGGTCTACATTTCTAGCTTTTATTTCTTTTCTGTTCAGAAAATACACAGGTGTAATCTTTGCTGCTTTTACTGTAACAACATCGTAGGTGTGGGAGGCTTACGAGCGACTTTTTTTTTTTAACCTCTCGTTATCCTCTACGTGCTCTTCAACCCCCTTTTTCGACCCAGTTGCCATCTGGAGTGATCGAGTCAATGCAGTCGTTCTAAGTTTGAATCATGGACTGGTCCATCCATTCACTCGACTCTTCACTCTTTCAAGGGCAGTGAAGCAAAGTGAGTACTATGTCTAAAAGTATCTTGGATGGTCTGAGGGCAGGCAGGCGGTGCCAGCCAAACTAAAGTACAATTAAGCTGGTGAACCATGCGGAAGGCACTTGTACCGAGTCCTTTTATCCTCTATCTCGGTTTGAGATTTCCCTGGAACGTGCCGCTGTTTCTCAGTGTATATGTTTAGGGACGTGCAGCTTTTTATGTCACTCTTCTGTTGAATGTCACACACAGTCACAGACCCTGTGCAAATTTCCTATTTGTCCCAGTAATTACAGCAGTCGACTAACATTTGTTAACCCCTCCTCCCCCCCCCACCCCAAAAAAAAAAATCCAGTTCTGTGTGGTATATGTAGTGGTCGTTTATGGTGTAGTGATTCGAATAAGGCACTTTCTGCGTTTTATAGAAACCTAAACAGCAAATTCTGACGAGAAGCTTAAGGAGGACTGAGAAAAGCAACATTGCAATGCAATGGATATAGTGCTTCAAGGGAGGCGCTTACAATTCTCCTAACCTTTTCTGTCAGAGTTGTTCATTCTCTTGTTTTGCAAAACCTCAGACCCTGTTATTGGAGATAACTGGTTTGATAGGGGGCTGCGATTTGCTTCAATACGCTACTTTTCCCGCCCCCAATCCCATTCCTATCCTTGATCCATCTGCCCACTGACCCCTTGCTGACCAGAAACAGGTGTGGATATGGATTCAGGATAGAATCGGGCTCGACTCTGATGTCCCCCTTTACGTTTTGAACCCTCTCATTACTCACTGCTCGTGATGTGCTTGGATGAGGTACCCGTAAACTGCTTATTATGGTACTATATTGGCAGAATACAGGGCTACGATAAGGAAGAGAGACAGTGAGGAAGGGCGGAGGTGGGGAGGGGGGGGCGGGGGGGCGGAGAACGAGGTTTCAGCAAAACGTAAAGAAACTGTAAGAAAACTTGAGACGATTTCAATGTAATTCTGTTAAGTTTCGGGGGATTTTTTTTTCCTTCCCCGGAACCCGTTGTTGTACAATCATCAAATAATCTTGTTTTGCCCACTTTCTCACGTGGGAGGGAGAGAGTTGGTTGCACGTGTGTCTCTGAGGTTACTGATTTCTGGTGAGCGTCCAAACGACTCCGCCCCCACCCTTCATAACTCTAAGCTGCGTGATTGCGAACATCACCCAAATTCCCGCGATCGAGCAGCAGTCACTGCGATTTCCTGCCTGCGTTGAACTCGGCAAAAGGTCGCTTTCTGATTCCATTGGAATAAGGGTTTCTTGTAAGAATATTTATTTGAAGGTTCTATTTTATAGTATTTATTTTAGGATTTCACCTGATGTGAGATTTGCTGGATCGTGTAAAATATAAAGAGTGGGGATGCGAGGAGGGGGGGGGGGGGGGGGAGAAAAAAAAAATGACCTTATGTATGATTCAGAAAAAAAATATATTGATGATAAAAAAAAATGTGCGTTCGTCGTCTTTACTTTTGTCCTCGTTCAAAATTAAACATGATTCTTTGAATTCGACC